GGGTTCTGTGGAGCGAAATCACGCATGTGCTATTGCTTTCCTATCCGAAGTATGAGCCTTCACGACAGGAATGGAAAAGAAAATTAGTGGGCTCCAGAGGAGTAGAATTTAATGAAATTCATAAGGTGACGAAACATACCCATTTAAATTTTAAAGGCTAAATTTTTAAAAAATAATAAAAAAGGTTGAGATTGTGATTATAACTATAGTCTCAGCTTAACTGGGTTCAATGCCGATTTGGTCTCCCCAGATCAATCCCGTTAACGGGTGATTGCTGTGGCAAAGATCGATAGAAGTAGCTGAGAGACAGGCGAAACGAAGGACCCGCATGGTGTGGTGGTGAACGCGTTACTCCCCAGAAAGGACAATAGTGCGTTCGCTCCTCACCGCAGACACTTGTGGTCCGAAGTTTTGCAAATGTCTCAGCACTATATAACTTATATTTCGCAAGATTCCCTGCCATAAAAAAAAAGAATAGGTAGTAAATAAAAAAGAGGCTAAATTATTTTCCACCAAGCTATGAGGTATACGTGACTCACGGTGCCTAAAGTGCTCTAAATAATTTTCCAATGTAATGATCACCCTATTATAGCCATCTCGGATTTCCAGAAAAAATCGTCGTCAAATAGCATTCAACACACCAATGAGAAGGCGACAAATCCTCAAGCGACCGAATCCCGTACCCAACCTGACCACCTGTGTGTAGTACGGTTGCAAAAAACGAAATGAATGGAAGAAGTGTTAGAACGTGCACCAAATGTCAGAGCAAAGTTTTTAAGTACTTTAGTAAGTAAGAAATGATGGTATACAATTTCCTTCCTGGTTTACTACACTAATGCGTGACCAACGTGCTCGGTCTTATGGTACACGACAATTCAGTCACCAATTTGATGCACAGCTCAAGATTTCTTAACCTAGTGGAGCATTAAAGNTTTTGCAAATGTCTCAGCACTATATAACTTATATTTCGCAAGATTCCCTGCCATAAAAAAAAAGAATAGGTAGTAAATAAAAAAGAGGCTAAATTATTTTCCACCAAGCTATGAGGTATACGTGACTCACGGTGCCTAAAGTGCTCTAAATAATTTTCCAATGTAATGATCACCCTATTATAGCCATCTCGGATTTCCAGAAAAAATCGTCGTCAAATAGCATTCAACACACCAATGAGAAGGCGACAAATCCTCAAGCGACCGAATCCCGTACCCAACCTGACCACCTGTGTGTAGTACGGTTGCAAAAAACGAAATGAATGGAAGAAGTGTTAGAACGTGCACCAAATGTCAGAGCAAAGTTTTTAAGTACTTTAGTAAGTAAGAAATGATGGTATACAATTTCCTTCCTGGTTTACTACACTAATGCGTGACCAACGTGCTCGGTCTTATGGTACACGACAATTCAGTCACCAATTTGATGCACAGCTCAAGATTTCTTAACCTAGTGGAGCATTAAAGCGATTCTGAGTACCACGGAAGTGGTACGACTAAAATAAGTGACAACGTACTAAAGAATACCAATCTCTTGTCGACGGCCAGGGAGAATTACTTGTTGGTTTTAAACTAATCGTCAATAACTTCAAACGTCATTGTAAAATAGCTGAATAACTTCCTACTAAATGATTGTGGTGTGAATATAGAAGTAAGTCGCAGCGGGGATATAGTCCCATAAAAATTCATAATCCAGTGGCTGATCACAACGTTTCAAAAAGCTGCGAAAACAACGTTACTCCACGAAAATCCCAGGTATCAAACACAATGGCCCAACGAAAATTGACAACATGAATCATAATAACTAACTGCCTTGAATTTCTATTATTTCATTACTTCCCACTTCTTCTTCCTTCTATAACTTGCACTGAGGATAACAGGAAGAAATCATATTCAGGATAAACGATGACCACCCAAAGAAGTGTCGGTAGCACTGGAGGGCGTCTAAATTTCGGTCGGTCTTGCGGTGAGTCATATGCGATCCTCGTTGGCCAAAGTGCCCTATTTCTTCTTCTTCCCAGCAAATGATCCTATTCTTTTCGTTGCAATTTTCGGTCTACATTTGGGATTTTCTGTGTTTTTTATTGTTATAATCATTGCATTTTTATCCGTAAAAGTCCTCTATGTTCATCTCTGTATCATTCCACGTTTCTAGAATGCACTATTTCTGTAGGTGATTAAAATAATTTATCCGTCGTCCCACAATGTCACTGTAACTGTTATCACTTGGTAAAGTTCTTTAAGACACGTAAAGTACACATCGTATATATAATATATGTACATAAGCCGCTCTGAAAATGCTTCCTGTATACTTCCAAGCGTAGAAAATACCTTTCCCGTACGATGCCCGCTAGAAAATCTATGTTGGACAAGCCATCGAGTAATTAAAGAATGTGCAGCAAAAAAGCTATATAGGACAAAATTAAAAGCCAAAAACACTAACCACTCACCTCGACCAGGTTGGCCGAAAGCACGTGAATCATGTACAATTTACCTCGGCATCAGTGGTCCAAACTTGGATACTTGGATGGTCCATCTTCACTGGTTGTGCGGACCTCAGCATAATTCCCATTTCTTCGGAGTTTTGCTGGTTTGACCATTGCGGTTACACGAAGTCCTGAAGTCAGCCTAGCCAAAGTCTGCCTCAGGTCGTCACCACCACAAGCAGTCGCGGGCCTTGTGGATCAGAGGGAGATTTGTCACCATGCGACTAGTTTGACACCAAGACGGTGGTAGACACTGACATTACTTTACTCTTAGCTGCACTTCCTGGTAGAAACACCGGACTCCTCAACTTGGAAGACTCTGCTGGTGCGATGAATCCCATCCGCTGCACATCGCAGCTCGACACCCAGGAACACCTCCCAACCATGATGAAGCAGGAAACCGTTGGGTGGTCCTACTTTTTTGCGTTGAAGCTCGTTTTTTAACACGGAAGTAACTGAACTAACAGCATACCGTCCACCAAGACCCAATGATTTTCCCAAACCTGTGGTTTATGGTCGGGAAATTCCTAAAATCTAAATCGCCTTTTCATGTTTTTAAAAACTTCATTGTGAAAACACTTGAATAGAGAGCATGTTGTAGGATTTACAAATTGTGTTAAGACGACAAGGAGTGTAAATTCACCTACGACAAGATTCTAGCGAAAAATACATCGAGAATTTTCTTTGACTTCAAAGATGTACCCTTGTGAATTCCACAGTGGAAGAAATCGCGGGGCTAAGTTTTTGAGAAACCAATTTTACTGTAGAATAGAACAGGTTTAATAAAGGAATCCACTACGATTCGGTTGCCTTCATCATCCCACTCAATTATTATAATTAAAAACCACATCTAAAGTTCACTACATTTTGAAGAATCGTCGATTGTAGCCAACAAAAACATACACAGTTGTAGAAGGGCTTTTCGTGTTATATCAACGCCAATACCCATACCAAATGTTAATCATCACTTAGTCGCCGTGTAACATAGTGGTTAGGGGTGCACTACAATAGACATCGGATTGATTGTTAGTTCGGCGACGAGCTTGGCCTCACTGAATATTCCATCCCTCCGAAGTCGGCAATTATTACGAGACTTGTCCGTTGTAAAAACGTTGAGTTAACAGACATATCAGTAGGTCCCCCTCAAGTTATTGTCCAAGCCGGATATACAACACATTTAATCACATTTAATCACCTCCACGACGCCCACAAATGGAGTGGAATGTAACGCGCATCCCACATGGACGGAATCATGCCGAACCCATCATTCTTTTTCCCTTAGTTGGCTTACAATATTCTCAATTTGAATTTATTCTTCAGCATTTTTCAAGGTAAGAATATGCTATGAAGGTAGGATACCTTGAACTGAAAATTTCTTTCCTTTCACAAATAATGCAATCTCCTCTTGCATTAAAATATGATGCTGAGAAATACTTTTGTACTTCGTAGGCCTGACACCGCATATTAAAATAGTAGACTTTCCACACTTGCGATTGCGAACCTAAACAGTAACACCAAACAATCAAGCAATTACCTAAATATGAACTCGCTGGTTGTGCAGCAGGCGAACGCCAGCAGAATCAATCCTATCATAGACTACATCCAAATTGAGAATACACAGTTGCGAATGGGTGATATCAGGAAATGAAGTCGTCAAAAAGGCAATAATGCCGTGTTGACGAAGTGGATGATTTAGTCGTGTACTCAGAGATGATGCTAGTAGGCGGAACGAGTGCGACCAGTTCCGCGGTGAAAGGGTGGTGCTTAGCGAAGTGCGCGGCATACAAGTAGCGTTCGAAACAAGCCCTTCCTACATAGCGCTCTATAGACTGACAACCACACAACAACGAACAGCCATAAATTCTCAGTTGGCGTGAGATTAACGCCATTGCAAAACAATCGCCGTCGAATCCATCGTTACCGTAGCCAACAATATGACAGAACTTCGGGCTCCATCACGCAGACATCGTTGAAACATATTATGGCGCTAGAAAGGTAGATCAAGGACCATAGCTGGCATGTTATACCTTGACTTTGCTGATTTTGGCCTTGGAAGTAAAAACAAAACAATAATTGGCTCTGACCGAGAATATAATCAAAGATATTCATGAAGACGATAAATGCTCAAGCAACAGCGGAACCGTTAGAGCTGAAATCCTAATACTTTCGCAGATGATGGAAGCAGGGAAACGAATAGAATAAAAGAAGTATTGGCATCAGTACACACATATGAGTTGCAGTACTTGTGTGGTCTCTCCTTCGTAAAATTTCTGTTTTCTCAACCAAATGGAGAAAAATAACCATGAGTTTTCAGGGTTTTGCAGTTCACTCTTTTGGGAAAAATTTATGGAGTAAAGACTAAAAAATAACACATGAAAAAAAGACGTTTCCACGATGATCAACTTGACTTGATCACTACGCGGAAGTGTTTGCTCATGAAAATGATTTCTGAAAATGAAATACAGCAATTTGTGACCTTCATCGAATATATAATGATTACAAAGTAGAAACCTTCCTAAAATATCAGTCACACACGTCGTGTCAAGAAAAGATCTCTAATTGGTGTTCGGGAGTCCGTGGGCAATCTGTTTATACCAAATAACTTCTTCACGTTCGGGTGTCGTAGTAATTGAGCTTGCGCAAAACCAGAAACGGATACGGAAAGCCAGTACAGAGGAATACACTAGAAATAGAAGACGTAGTGAATAACAACTAAACAGCAGTTAATGAAAAAAGAAAAATATTAACTGAAAGAAAATTTGTGGCCGCATATGCACTAAGCATCATAGGTCCCCAAAAGCGTGCATCACTGGGCATGCAATATTTTCCAACCAATTTTTGTTCGCAAAAATGTGAAAAAAGTTGTTCTCCTGGATGGCTGTGTTGATTTACTTAATGGTACATTACCGCCGTCAATACAAACAGCTACATCGAACAGGATGAATACAATCGAGAGTGAATATTTTCAACATTTACTGCGCATATTGTTCCCACCGAGGTCACGCAACGTGAATTTCAAACTTCTGAAATTGTTACTGGTATGACCCACTATTCTTTTCGCCCGGTAATCGCTCCCAATATGGGCTTCACTACTTGTACCCTTATGAGCATAAAGCTAAAGGATAAAGGTTTCAGCGTGGATTAATCCTTGGGGCCATGCATTCGACTTCATTAAATATCGTTGGAGGTGACTATATGCATATCTGACCTTTACAATGACCCGTGGTGGCCTAGTGATGTATCCAGTCAGTGCTGGTATCCTCCCAGACAAGTCCGGTACCAATTAGCCGACCCTGGAGGGGTGGAGGGCTTGGTGGGACATGGGCGCCGGATCGATTCCACGTGTGTATCGCAGTGGCGCCCCCAACCGCTTCGCCACACGCGCCTCCTTATGAGCAAGCTAAAATTAACAAACTTCCCCCCATGTCCACAAATGCCTTGAGCCGATGTTACATGCCGCATAAATTCGAGACGTTGAAGAAAACTTAGCACACGAGATGAAAAGAACATCCCAGTAACAACTCGAATTTTGCGAACTTCCAAAGCCAATGTTGTTACACAGTTGAAACTGAGGACATCCCAGTTGTCATTACATTAGCATCATAACTTAATTTTGAACTTGTCGAAAAACTTGACGAACTTTTATTGAAGTCTGTATATTGTGACATCTGAGAGTAAATCTGTGCTTTTGGAATACTCTAGAAACGCAGACATTAAAACTTTCTCATCTTCACTAGTTCATCGATAGAAAGAAACTATCGTTGGTGATAGGCAATCTGTTCGTTTCGGTTACGATATAATAAATTATTTTGCTATCAACAGTCAAGTTGCAACAACGTTGTTCAACTGGATATCAACTCTACATATATACCAAGATATCATAGTCACTCCATATTCTTAATTTCATGCACCTAGATAAATCAAATATGGCCTTTAGCACGAATCACATTTTCCGATTCATTAACGCCGTTTCTATTGCTTGGTTTCCTGAAGGCGCCACATAGAAACATTTCGTTCCATGAAATGCAAACTTCAAACTTGAGTAATATAACCATAACATTAACACTGCGTCAACAACCACAGAGTTGACAGGGAAGAATGAGGAATAGGTTTTCTTATACATCTTTGGTTAAGAAGGTGAGTGTGTCATACTTTAGATAAAGGTGATAGGATGCAAATCTCGTGAGAAGATCGCGGTCCTCTAGAAGGATGCATCATGGTCTCTTCAGAATGACCAGACCTCGAACAATATCATGTACCACGATATCACGCCTACTACATAACACAAGTATGGACTGATCCCCGTGAGACAAATAATAATCTCTTTAAGATTCAGAGTACTCGCCGCAGCATAACATTTGAATATTGGTTGACAAAACATAGCAACTTGCTTGAACGAAAAGAAAAGTAAACCAAAAAATTTGAGCGAATAGCGCAAAATAACGCGGTTGTTTACCCAGGAACTAATACAAAAATCATGTCACCAATATTTTCAAATAACTCACCGCAGGAAGTTGCGACATGATGACCACCGCAGAAAAAGCAAATAACCCCAGGACAAAGTCGTACGACCTCATTTGCCACTTCGACATCGCCACAGGGTAGATTTTTCTCTGTGACTGAAAACATATATCCATTGAAGAAAGTTACAGGTTCGTGTTTGAGCATTTTTCCGTAATTTGAATCATCTTGCCACCAACATAATGGTGTATCGATGTATCGAGCCAGAGCTGCTATCATCCCAGACAAGTCTGGTATCAATCTGCCGACATCGGAAGGACGGAATGCTCGGTGAACCTCGGGAGGATCGAACCCATGTATATTGTAGGGTGCCTACTACCACTCCACCACACGCGCTTAGGCTACAAGACATTACAAACACGCCATCCCGTTCGATCTGGTCAGTTAAGAAACGTTGGGTGGTACTGATTAGTACTTGGATCATATTATTGGAAATGCTAACAATAATTGTGCAATGACGATAATCATAGAGAACATAGTGAAGAAATCAGTAATCAAGGATGAAAATTTTTTTTGTCCTCGATGACGTGCTAGAATTCTCTACGTTTGCAGATGTAAGCTCAGTGCCACACGCGTCCTTCATACGGCAAATTAGGAAAAGTATACCGGAAGGTAGAACATTTTGCTTCACAATTCTTTTCCCTTTGAAAAATTCCGGAGGTGGGACAACTGTATTTCGCCTATGAGCGTCACAAGATGGGTTCAAGACACTAAATTTTGTCCAATCAATAACATCCTTCTTAGGTATGGAATGTGCAGTAACTAAAATAAAAATGGATAATTCAATCAGTTATGAAGTAGAGTGCATTTTGGACTTCAATTTATGACATAGAAAGAAGAAACTAAAGGAAAATATATAATTCAGGGCATGAAACACTGCTATGAAGCAGATAAAGTATTGTCATAACCGTGAACAACGTTAACTAATAGGTGGTCATCGATTTTTAAAATAAATGATCATCAACTTTCTGTCCCGCAAGTTCTTCAACACAGAACATCCGCATTCACCGTCTGAATGAATTTAGCAGATAACAGGTGAGGGGCATGGACTGACTAATGTGTTTATTTGACAATATGTTCTTGCTCATGAATAAACGCCGACAATGAACAATAGACCAATAACTTACGTATAGGTTCAAAAATCCAAATAACCCGACAACAACTGGCAAGACAAAGTAGGGATCTGGAGCAAGCATGTCACTAACCCACAAACCACCAGGAATAGACGGATGAAAATCAGCTGGAATAGAATGCAGCTGACAGAAGGAACACAAGAAGATTAAAAACCTTAAGAACTCACAATCTACAATATTTCGTACAGCAAATGAAGAGAATATCCACAGTGGGATAGTGCACATCTTGAGATTCTGAATGCGGCTACTCTGAAGCCTCTGATCCGCTATGTACCGAGGAATTATCTCAGCCAGCTAGAAGCGACATGAATTATAGACCTTACGTTAGAAAAAGGAAGTATCTTACCAGCTCACCTCCAATTTGTTTATGCTTAGGGAACATACAGGTCATATTCAAAAGAACGACCTTTCTACAAACCTCGGCATATTAATCAATATATCTATCTATATATATGCTCTTACGAACTGCCCTTGTTTAGCTGACGCGAAATTGGTAAAGAAGTTTCTGTTTTTGTTCAATGGTTGACGTTTCGGCGACTTCGTCTTCCTCAGAGCAGTGCCGTTGGACCACCAAGGACTCATCACTTATCAACAATACAAAGGTGGTCCAACGGCACGACTCCGAGGAAGGCTAAGTTGCCGAAACGTCTGCCATTGAACAAAGACAACAACAACAAAAAGCACAACTATGTCAACAAACCTCGCGTCAGCTAAACAAGAGCAGTTCATAAGAACATATATACAGGTAGATCATATTTCTCTGAAAGTAAGATGAGCTAATTTATTTTCTGAAGCATAATCAAATTACGTTGCCATAGATATTGACCCAAAGAATCCACCTAGTTCAACACAAATTGAGTAGGACATCAATGTAAAACTGGGTCTACACCTTTGCATATGACCTTTATAATCTTTGTGTAAGTGCGTCTTTGCATCTGCATCACTTAGTTGTGTAGGTTACGAAACCTACAATATCCAAATGAGGCCAAAGAAAAGCCAAGTTAGACCTTAAATCTGCACAGCCACAGTCCATACAAGGTCACAACGAATTTCGTGAGCATCTATTTACCAAAAAAATTATTTAATAGCTAATGAATATGCCAAAACATCGTTTTGGAATTAATTTTGTAAAAAGCAAGCTGTTTGAAAAAAAACTGCTTCCCAGTAAATACTGCCAATTATAGTTATTTCACATAACATCCTACCAGGAAAAAATAATAACCGGTAAATAAAACGTCGAGCATCGTGATTTCGACTACAGCCTCAGCTTAACTAGGATCAATGTCGACTTGTGATCTCCAGATCAATCCCGCTGACAGGTGACTGTTGATGGCGCAATTATAGCAAAAAGTGGCTAGGAGAAAGGCAAAGCAAAGGCCTCAATGGTGCAGTTGGTAAAAAGAAAGCTGCCGAAAGTGTAATCGCGGTTTCGAATTAGGCCTTCGGTCCAAGTTTTGCAAATATTTCACCATCGCTGTGGTTATATTAGCAACTTACGAGAAAAATCATACCAGTCGTTCACCGTGTGCAATTATTTTCGGGTCTGAGGTTTGCAACTCCAATTTTGATCGCATAGCATTAGGAATGACCTTCACGTTATAGTGCTGACCTACTTTCTGAAATAATGAATACACATTCCGGACGATATCTAGGAAGGAGGAAAACATGAAAAAAACGAAAATGAAAAAAAATTTTTTTTGAAAAATGAAAGGAAGTAACCTACCTTCAAAACACCTGCAGTCAAGATATTCTGAGTGTGTAACCTCCGCGCAAACAATCTTTCAGCTAGGATATGAAGAGGTGAGGAGGCCACTCTAAGGGCTGCACCAGTCACTACAAAAACACAAGGCCAAGAAAGACCAGCTCCATGTAATGCTGAAATACAAAGAAACAATAAAAGTACTAATCCACATGTCTACCAGAAAGATTCCCATACAGCCCACCTTCCATAGCCGACTGCAAACCTTGTGTGAAATAGCATTCAGATGCATATTGAAAAAGAGGGGCAATTGTTGATGGTACTGAGCTAGAATGTCGTTGAGAGACAATCTATAAGTATCACAACGCTGCCCAATTCCTATACGTTCTATTCTCTGTAGAACGAACCAGTTCTAATATCATAAACGGGATTACTGAAAACTCTACAGCTAAAGATTAGAGACACCGCCACGCCCTACTAGCTCTTCGAGATAACATTATTTTTCTTCTTCACGCTTCTATTAACGATTCTCAAAATCTGAGCAAAACTCTTATACACAGTTCCAAACCGTACCTCTATATCTTTAAAAATAACAAAACATAAATAAATAAAAGAACAGTTCTCGGAGTCGATTAATCAGTGAGAGATGTGCCATGTATTCGACTTCATTAGGAATGGCTGGAGGTGATCGAATGCATATCTGGGCTTTACAATAACTCATGGTGGCGTACCGATGTATCGAGCCAGTGCTGCTTTCCACCCAGACAAGTCTGGTACCAATTTGCTAACCTCAGAAGGATGGGGAAGGTTTGGTGAGTCTGGAGCGAAGAGATCAATTACAAGTGTATTACAGGGCGCCTCCAACCACTGCTGAACACGAGCCCCTTATAAAAATAACCAAAACGAAGAAACAAGAAAACGAAATTTATGATGTTCAGATTTTCCACGCCAGAAAACTGCTAGCAAATTTACCTTCGGAAGGCTGATTATGGATTTTGTAGAAGATGACGGCAAGCAGGAAGTCCTGCTCAACAGAAGCAGGCCTCCTCGAGAAAACATCTTGAACAAGTAGTTTGACAGTTGTAAACTGTAAAATTCGAACAGGACAGAGACAACGAATGTGCGTTAAACGCTTTGAATCGACAGTTTGGCGACAAGGATTAAAACTAAGCAACCAGTATTCGACGTTCATTACATAAGGAAAAATGGAAGAAAACAGGGAGGAGAAAAAGATGGTCTGTACATAATAATTAAAAGTCTTCATTAAGAACAACTCTAAATCATGCAAACTTAATCTCATGCTACCAAGAGTAACATAAGAATAGAAAACTTCGATGAGACATACAATACACTTCTGAATCACAAAACATGAAGAAACAGTAACATACAAGTAGTTACATGAAAACAACAGGTGTATTAAGTCCCTAATCTTTTGCCTGTACCTGAGAAAGGTCCAAACTCCTCAGCTCTTCCATTTCGCTGAAGGTCGCCTCGTTGACTAAGGGTATAGTGACCTCTTTCACCAGATCCTAGGCTTGACTGTTGAACTGGCACGACGTTGTCGGATCTCGTTTGAGACACCAATATTACGGCAACTATTATAGCCAACATCATAGGTCCAGAAAGAAGAAAACCCAGAACGGCAGCCACCAAATGAAGTGGATCAACTCGAAAACCGCCAATATAGATTGTTTGAAGGCCAATTTGTCGAAGGCGATCGTTGCCAGTGTTCCAGATTGATGTCAGATTATCTACGACATCAGCCTGGAATGAGAACTTCTATTCTGCAGCAGAACTACAGTCTCAATTACTTCACATTCAAAAACTACTGCTACGATTTTGCAACTTGGATAAGTGAACAAGTGTGCAACCACTCCAGCTTCATTTGATGTGAGCCTACTATCGGACGTGTTTAACGGAAAGCTGCTTAAATGTCAGGAATAGGAAAATGGAAACATAATTTCAAGGTAAAAGAAATATTCCTGAAGTAAAAAAAATATACATAACATTCTGTAAATACGAGAGAAACACGATTGGTCCATCGAACACCGATTCTGACGTAAAACACAACGGTCGCGCCTTAACCCCATTCTTCCTCTGGACGTTAGTTTACCTCATTCGCAGGAATCGATGATTCTAGGTGGATCGAAGTTCTATGTCTGTGTCGAGAGATCTTCCAATTTCAATCTCATTTGCAAAATCTGTCTCTTAGACGCTTACTGAAAATTCTATTTCTACGATACTAGCGATCCTACACGTCCTAGGCCTCAGTAGCTCCCACTTTACAGGAGCCTGCCTTTACAAATTTTGAGTAGCAATGCTACTTCGACAGTACCCAGCTTCCTACTTCCGCTGATCACCTAAGCGCTCTTATTTCTGTTACATCTAAAAAATCAACATCTTTAGTAAGAACAAAAGTACTCATGTATTTTTATTTTACTCACAACACCCTCTACTCCGGTTCTGAACTTCTCTATTAACAACTCATTCCCCGCACATGAGGGAGTTCAGAAATCCGAACTACTTGACATTTACAACAGCAGATCGGTTCACATGCTTTTTTGATCCTTCATACCTGCTACGCTTAGAAACCAATATGCCAATGCTTGTCCCTACTGCTTGTACCAGCCCACCCACATATGGTGCCTGTATTGTACCTTCTTCCAATTGTGAAAAAGTCTCGTTTTCCAGACAATGGACATAAAACAGGTGGCAGTAAGATGAGTTTAGAAAGAGTTTGCTCCAAATACGATAAGGAAATCAATGCATGTCTACATTACTGGGATGGTGGGGTGAGTGGGGAGTGCGAAAATCGAAAATGATTTAAGGACAAATCCAACTTCGACTCCGAAAGCTGTCATCAATTCCTCTCTTCGGCATCTCAATATCCGCCTCTAACTAGCGGAATCCTCCATTATACTTCACCGCACAATGGGTCATAGAACATCGAAATCGGATTGTCGAGGAAGCACTGTTCCGAACGAACGTGAAGTGTTCAGAAAAATTTTAACTCAATCCCGACCAAAAAGTTCGTCGATCTACACAACTCGTCACAATTCGGTCGCAAAATTCCTAACATCACTTCTTAAAAGTCCTTATGAAATAGACAACATCGTACCAGAAGACCAGATTTTCGGAGAAATCATTGTTTAAAGGTGTGAAGGACGTTTCAATACTATAGCCCTTATGACCTTCGGTACGACTATGAAGATGTCACATTGAAAAGACGAACAACTGCGGATCATTGACTCGGACCATCGTCTCTGCGGACGACGATGTCGAAACGCTAGACAAATAAATACTGATGACAATCTCGTGCAAGCTCAACACTTTAAACAGATGTTAATTACAGCTCTTAGGTTGTTGTTATCCACCTACACATATCGATTAGCTCTTAATAAGGAATGAGTTTCAAGGGAAGAAAACAACAAAACAGTCTTACTAGTTTAAAGTACCTGATTTTGGGTGTCTTGGGGGCGATTTGGTTCAGGCGTAGGCTGACCAGGATTTGGTCGCTGACGAGCTCGTGGGTCATCGTCGCTAACCACCTCACCGTTACTAAGAATTCTAACCATCTGAAAACTTCATTAAAACATATACAAATGGAATTCAAAACCATTCTGGTCCATTAACCCATTCGCAATAGCAAGGTGGCGAGCACCAAATGCCGATCTGGACAGGGGACAAGTGGCTAAGGTACAGATACACTGTGTGCGAACCATGAACCACTAACAAACTACTTTAACACCTACTGCGTACTACTTACTAAAATACTACTTGAACAAACAATTTTAAAAAGAGCCAACTAGGACTTCTTCCATTCGAAGACGAAGCACACCACTGTTTTCTTCATAGGACCACCACCACTGCGAACTCGAAACTTCTCAATGGCGGTGGCCCGTCAGTCTTAATATTTCTTCTCAGGTTCTTTAATTTCTGGTGTTTTCTGTCCTATTAGTTGCTAATTTACGTTGGAAACTCCCTGTAAGCATAGAGTTATTTCAGTTTGACGAGCTCCTGTCGTAATTGCCGCTGTAAAACAAGAGATCCGGCAAGAGAGTAATCTGATTTCTTGTCGTTTATTTACTTGCTGTTACTGTTCTCCGTAAAGATTTAACTATGTTGCATTACTCCTCAAGATCAGAGTTGTTAACGACGGCTTTGTATGAACAAAGCGCCAGCTAGAGCGCCAAGCGCAAGTAATATTTCTGAAAGGGTTCTGTTCGAGGTTATGTCGATTGCCTGTTTCTGATCGTTGCTAGCGTGACTCATAGGTACGCGAGGAATTCGGGAGTGCTACGGATTTCTTCGTAGGCAATCCCTAGCCCCATTGTTGTGCTCCATTCACTTCAAGGGTGCTCTAATCATTATGTAATAAAGCGTGTTAGTTGAGTATGTAAACTTGTTACTCATTTTAGAAACTTCGATGGCCCGTTTTCACTGGTTGTGCGGGCCCCAACATAATTCCCATTGTTTCGAAGTTTTGTTGGTTTAGCCACTGTGGTTCCCTGGAGTCCCAAGGTCAGCTTACCCAAAGTCTGCTCCATGTCGTTACTTACCACCACAGGCAGTCGTCGCCCATGTGGGTCAGAGGAAGATTTTCCGCTACGTAATTTGTTTAATACCAAGGTGGTGGTGGATCATGGTATTATTGGCTTACTCTTAGCTGGATTTCCTGGTGTAAACGTCGGACTCCTCCTCAGATTGGGAGACCCTGCCGGCAGAACGGATCCCCCGCTGTACATCGCAGTCCGACATCCAGGAACACCACCCAGCCACGACGAGGCGTTATACCGTTGGGAGGGTGTCAACTTATAATCGTTAGAAAGAATGGATTTAAGTGTATCTAGTAGGTCAACTGCCTCGTTGAGAGCGGTGCAGTAATGAATGTAAGAGAATAGAGTTTCCCTATATTGAATTATGTCCTAAGTCATGATTAATCTCTTGAGTAACCGTGGAATCGGTTGCCGAACGGCAACAGTTAGTTTGCGTTAGTCTTTGGTTATCATACACTGTTGTAGGTCTTCAGTCTATGGCCAGGTGCAACTGCAGGAATTCAACAGTTGAAACCTTAATTCACGGAATTCACAAACTGCTAACGTTAACGAGATTCAAGACGACATTATTAAGTGTGACCTTATGTGTGACCTTCAAGAAAATTTCGGCTTAATTTGAAGTTTTTCTAGATTGTTGAATAGTAAGAGTGGAAGAAAAGCTGATAGATGTATGTACGTTTAAAAATTGGCTTTGCTATCTTACATATAGAAGAATTTCGCTGCTAATATTCTATTCTGTTCTTTGAAATAGGTTTTGGAACGGTTTGATTGAACTTGAAAGCTCGGGAGTGTTCTAGGAGGTTGACGTATCCGCTGTACCGGAGGGTTACTACCTGCCTTTGACAAAATCTGTCCGTTTTTCATATGTATCATATAGATTTATAGTTCGATAATGCTAGAACGTCAATGTTATGAGATTCCTTATTTCTCAAGAAATATATTCTCGCAAGAACCAACAGCGAATGTCTCGTTTTCGTAACGCGAAGGAATTCTGTCTTGTTGGGAGATGTTGGTTTCCCTTCCGAAAATCGTTTAGAATCGAGTGGAAGGAACTTGGCTATCGTGTGAAAATGGCACTGAACATACCAAAGTCCGGCTTTCAACGCTTTATGAAAGATGGAGCGCAGGTTAGTCCCCTAACGGCTTCTGATGTGCCGTCGGTGCTTGTGAGGTTCCTAATTTAATTAACTCTTTAGTATCTGAGTTTCTTAACCTCCTTTTGTAGCTCTTCAAAGGCACCGATGAGGCCGTGTTAAGAAATATCGACGCATGCGTCGAGTTGGCTTCACAACTGAAATCCGCTTATGGTCCTAATGGTTTGTGAGCCATTTAAATCAACGTTTTTATAAACATGAATGGTTCTATACGGTTCTGAGTATTACCCTCCTAGGAATGAACAAGATGGTCATAAATCATATCGAGAAGCTGTTTGTGACGAATGATGCTGCCACAATCCTCAAGGAACTGGACATTCAACATCCAGCTGCAAAAATAATCATTCTGGCCAGTCAAATGCAGGAGAAACAGGTTCTGTTAGTTTATGTGCCCACGCCTTCTGGACCATTCTACATCATTTCGATCTTTTTCTGCAGAATTAAGGTTTTTGTAAATAAGGAATTTTGAATTGTTATAGTTCCTTGTTATGTAGTAATTGAAAAGAATCAATATTTTCTCCTGTTACGTGGTTAGATGTTTTTATTTCATCGGTAGTTACAGATTGGAGATAACACCAACACAGTGGTGATCTTGGCCACAGCTTTGCTAGAACATGGCGCTGAACTCATCAATATGGTGGGTTTTCATTAGTGTTTTCTTCGTATTTTTGTTGAGCAAACGCGAGGTGTTATTATTCTTTGTTCACGATTAAGCTGACGTTTCGGCTGATTTCGCCTTCCTCAGAGCCTGGAAAGGTCAAGGTGATAGCAACTCACTCGGCCAGACGCCTCCATAACCAAACAAAGAAACCCCAAACCAAGATTTCAATCACTTTGAACACAGCTTTGCACACTCATCGCTTTCTATGAGGTTTCCACTAAGTATGTCACGTAGAGACCAACCGCACAGAAATCACATGGAAGCATAATGTGCCCCTCACATCAGAAAAGCAGTTTTATATACTGCCCTATATCACGCGTGATAATGATTCATTCTTCCCTGCGGTTCATTTTCGGATTTCTGGAATACAAGAGTACCTCGAGGGTTTTTCGCGCCTGTGTTCTCGATTCGCGTGCGAGGATCGTGACACATACTTCGAAGTCGTCCCCGTTATGTCTCTGGGTCCTATGCGTGCCTAGCGGGGTATTTGGTCTATTTTTGCCGGCTAGGTGTTCTTTCATGCGGACACAGAGGTGTCTACCCGTTTCGCCAATGTATTCGTCACCACACGTCTTACAGGAGATCAGATAAACTATANCATTCTTCCCTGCGGTTCATTTTCGGATTTCTGGAATTAATCCAGAGTGCCTCGAGGGTTTTTCGCGCCTGTGTTCTCGATTCGCGTGCGAGGATCGTGACACATACTTCGAAGTCGTCCCCGTTATGTCTCTGGGTCCTATGCGTGCCTAGCTGGGTATTTGGTCTATTTTTGCCGGCTAGGTGTTCTTTCATGCGGACACAGAGGTGTCTACCCGTTTCGCCAATGTATTCGTCACCACACGTCTTACAGGAGATCAGATAAACTATATTCGAGCTCATGCAATCACCGTCTCTACCACTGGGGCAAATTATGCAATTTTGAGTTGTACATAGACGGTCATATAGGCGGTTACGAACTAGCTGGCGCTTAAGATTACTCGGTGGTATTTCAACTACGCTCANCCTATTCTGAGCTACAGTTTCGTAGCCATTAGAAACGGCTATTTGCCGTGCCAAGTTCCGGGACTCCTCTCTCTGCTCTCTTCCCGTGCACACGTTGGTTGCTGTTCGAAACATTTTTCTTATAAGCGCCCTTTTCGTGTGAGAGGGGTGAGAGGAGAGGTAATGAACCAAGATATTTTTACTACTTGGCTTTCGGTACCACTTTGTAATGT